TATAAATACTATTTAATAATAATAACAACAATAATAATAATATTATTATTACTATTCTTTTTTTTCCAATATTATACATTTTATTATTATTACATGTAATAGTTATAATTGCAAAAATATGCAATAGATCATTTTTTCCGTGGGCGGCCGGGCGATCATTTTTTCCGTGGGCGGCCGGGTGTTTTTGAACTTTACGCCAGGACCCAAAATTCCTCAGTTGCACCTCTGGATGGTACAGTCAGCACTGGTCATAGTTCAGCCCCTCCATCGCCCATCAATGGCAGTACTCAGATCAATCACTAGACGATATCTATCGGTGAATGGAAAATCCTCGGCACAATTATAACACAAAATAGGTGTTAATAATATTAATTTCAGGACGATAGACACAGCAGGGGCACCCTCCTTGTCCTGTACAGGGGAGACGCTGCGCCCCCCCTCTTTTTTCCCTGCGCTTGCCTGTCTCTCCACAAGCTGTCTCCTCTCTATTGCTCTCCCCTCCTCCCTCTGGATGATTTATGACCAGTCCTGCAGTTTCTGACAAACTATTTGTTGGAAAATTAGATTTTTTTTGCTGTTGGATGCTTCCTCTGGGAAGGAGGGGGGGCCCGCCGCCCAGCCCCCCCACTGCACACACAGTGCCACGCATGAGAGGGGTCCCCCAGCAATAACCCAGCCACTTAAGATAAATGAGAGAGATTAGAAAGCGTTTTACAGAAACTTCTTACTACCTCTTGCGCGTCTGCCAGGACGCCATTTGTGTCGATGTCACTTGTGTCACGGCTTCCTATATCTATATATCTCTGTGTGTGACATAGCGGGCCTTGTTTTTATTTATCTATAGAGCAGGCAGACTCTGGAGCAGTTGCCCATAGCAACCAGTCGACTTCTCTCTTCTGTTTGTACTGTTAACCCTCATTCACACCTGAGCATAGCGTTGCAGCAATATGCGTTCCCGTGCGCTCGTGGGCATTTGTGTCCTGCATTTGGCACGCGTCCCCGTTGATTTTAATGGACGCACACCAAATGTGGCAAAGTAGTACATGTCACAATTTTTGCAACAGGCATACCGCTTGAGAACGTACACGAATGCACGGGAAAAAGACGTGTTTGCCTGGCCATGTTTGGGGTGTCGTTAACT